AAAAAAAAAAAATATTTTTTAAATTATTATTTCATAAATCTAATATTATAAATGATTACATATTACATTTAGATAATAAAATACATTTAGATAAAAATATTGAATATTTTATTGATTGAATATTTAGTTATTGAATACCTGCATGTGAGATGAGATTGGGCCAGCAGCACCGCCTATACTTTGTTTTGATTGGTTAGTTTCTGACTCAGCCAAACAGCCCGCTTGCTTTGGAGTTCATGCAGCCAAACAAGTTCGCTAGTTGCGAGATGAATCTGGAAACCTGTTGTGCTTTTTAGAGGCGTTTCTGACCCCGAGAAACTTCCAAAGAACTTTCCACAGAACTACTGAAAGGTTTGTTATTGATATTATGACCCCATTAGTTCACAACTCAAAAGTATATTTATTTAGCTGCATTGTGTCGGTCTTTATGTAATAAATACACTATGTTTATAACTGTACTCATGTCCACCACTTTCTGTAAAGGTATCCATCACAAAGGAACTGAAGTCTCTGATGTATGCAAATCTTTTTGGGCACTGGCTTCACTTACAATGAAGTACCATGGTATGTATGCTACTGATATACAGTGTTACTGATAAACATCCATGCATACAAGTGCACAAATATATGTAGTATTTAAAGTGACATAGATTCATTTGTTGGGATTAAATGGTTTACAAGACTTTCCAGTCGAGATCCAGGTAGCAAATAACACTCATTTTTGTACTGACAGGATAAGGTGTTTGTTCTGTAAACTGTTAAGACCAGCTCAACTCATACATACCTTGAGGATGTAAGAAGATCTTTTCGAAGTGTCTTCTCTTTATCACCACCCAATGGTGAGTATGCAAACCTACAAGACACTGCTGCATTGTGTTCTCACTACATATTAAAACATACAGCCATATACTCTCAAAAAAGTTAGAAATACATCTTAGAATAATGAACGGGATCCAGAGGTTTTTTTCAGCTTCATAATCCGAAAGATATTGCTTACCCATAGCCATATGAGATCATATTAATTTACTAAGTCAACAAATGCAATGAAAGCAGGACCGTTAAACCCATTCATGCTGCTGGCACAAGAGAACTGCACGGAATGCGGTAGAAAGCAGTAACTGTTAGATGTACTGCATTGTTTAATAGGATTATTCAGCATGAGCGAAAAAGGGAGGTCAGAATCAGGTCATTGCATGCAATAATCTCAGTTACAGGCGCCATCAGTACAGAAAATGTGAGGGTTTGCAGCTTACCTAGAGTGTATGTGAGTTGTGTGTGTGTGTGTGTGGTGCGTGGACTGCTGCAATCTCCCCTGTGGGCTAATAGATTTGAGATGACATGTTCTCCGCTTCCATGCTGAATGTTCAGTGAACTTTCTGGCACAGAGGCTGCCTCTAAAGTGGGTTCAACCAGAGGTTAATATAAACAAACAGCAGAAAATGGAGAGCCAGGGATTATTAAATGTTAGGATGACTGACAAATCCCTCATTGCCATTAGCCCCTGGCCTTCACCTATGCCCCGCTTTCCAAAAAATACTGTACCGTGGCTCGACAATTTTCTTTCTTTCTTTTTTTTTTTGACAGTGGCGTGTTTAGTGCCAGCCATTGGGGGCTGATAATTTGTAATGTGTGGTCAGACTGTGAGTCACTTGACCAGAGAAAGCTTTTGCCAAAGTGTCCCGTCGCTACAGATGAAATATTGTGTGCACACATTTTAATGAGTTTATAAATATAAAGTGTTTGGAAGTGTTTATGAACACAGATGTAACCGTCATCTAGCACATCATTTCTTGATGTAACTATTCTCATTATGAATTATATTTAGTAGGCATCCCTGCACTTGACAGATTATTATTAATACTTATTTTTTTTTGTGTTTGACAGTATCATATATTTTGGGTTCAGGCTACTAAACAGTTATAAAAGGGACCATAACTATTTAAAATGATGTTGAAATGAGGGCAGTTCTTG